GAGGGACTGGAGTTGGTGGAGGAAGGCGTAGGTCGAGTGGTATAGTAGTGGAGGAGAGATGCATGACTATGGAGGTGGTGGAGGGCGTAGAACTGGGGATGGTGGTGGGGGGGAAGCATAGAGCGCGGGACTGGAGGTGGTGGAGGGAGGCGGGGATGGTGTCAAGGGTCGTTAGCCGCCATCATCACTCACCTGCACTTTAAGACACCTGTAACACACTGGGTCATCTCCACTACACCAGTCACCCTCCAGTAATACGAGAATAACTAATGCCCTCTAACGACCCTTATATACACATAACAATATACAGGGTGTCCATAAATGATTACCCTGATTAAAACATGAGAGCATACTGTTTTTAAGGTAATCATTTATGGTCACCCTGTATAATTCATACTAGTAAACACCATCATTATCTTGTCACTGGTCGATATTACTTTACACCGCTGCACTAACAAGGTGATTAGTGTATACTGTTGTTGGTACAGCTGCCTTGAAAACTCTTATACATGTTCACCACGATGTTAATTTGTTTATACCAATATTACTTAGGTTAGGTTGGGTTGGGTTAGGTTAGATAGGAGGATGACGCACTATACCTGGCCATGAACTATAATTACACAATTTACCTTCATGTTATCATACAGGGCCGCTTGACACACGCTGGAAATACGTTAAGTCCAACAGGTGTAAACATACTCCAGGAATCAGTGAATCTAGTCACAATCATAAACATTAGGTTAAATTAGGTTAGGTTAGGTTAGGTTAGGTTAGGTTGGGCTTCATTTGACCTATAACCTCCTTTTAAACAAGTTATTACACGAGTATTTTGTTTTCAATACATCGTTCAACTTGAGTGACGAAAGTAGTAAATGTTCACCGCTGTACAGGAAGCTACATTCATCTTGTATCTCGGCGTCTCTCACTCACCATCCCTGAGGTGAGTGCATCAGGCAGGAGTCAAAAAGAGGACGCAATTTTGTTTTGTTTTTACTTTCGGCGTGGCAACAGTGGCCCGTGTGAGGCACTCGGCGACCACCCGACCTCACCCACTTGACTCTACCACCCACGCCCACTCTGACACACAAACATTCCCCCACACACACATCCTACTACTACTACTGACAGCATTTTTAAACACACACAGACACACCTGCCCACACCCCACCACACACATACTCCCCAGCGCGCGCGCGCACACACACACACACACACACACGCACAATCAGTGGGAACAAGGGAGAAGTTAAGTCCACCTGTGGGGCCAAAAATGAGTCGTTAGATTGTGGCTAAGAGGCCGTGTCTTCCTCTTACACTCACCTGCACATTAATTATACAAAAAAACAACAACTGGATAAGTACTGGGCAGGTCAGGATGTCACGCACTAATACAGGACTGTGTATAGCCTCTCGTTGAAGTATCGATTAGTGTTATACAAACGGAGGAAGACCTGAAATATACAGTCCTGAAGCCCTCGGCCTGAAGGAATCCAATAAACAATAAAATATAATACACGAATCTATAAGTAATGTCTATACAACCCAAAACAAAAGACTATCATAAACAAGACATAATCACCCCCCCCCCTCCCCCCAACACCTCCCTGTGACCCGAAGTATTGATAGACACCTCAGGAGAGTCGAGAACTTATATAACACCACGTTTACTGGCTGTGTTGGGGGAGGGGGAGGGAGAGGGGAGGGGGAAGGGAGGGGGAGGGGGTAAAGTCATGAATCAGCACCACAAATTCTAAACTTAGGAACAATGACAGGAACTTTCGACACACTGACGTCATCACCTGTAAGGGCCTCTCTCTCTCTCTCCCCTGAAGACACCAGAGTAATATTGTATTTATAGGTATCTGGAAGCTTAGGTTAGGTTAGGTTAGGTTAGGTTAGGTTAGTGTTAGGATGCCAACACGTATACTGCCGTCCAGATGCAGCTATACCACTATACGCTCAGCTTTACGCGGGCGTTGGCGTACATACTCACACATACCTACAACATCTTTCATTAAATCTGTTTGGCCATTTAATTCTCTTAAGTTAACCTTTGTAATAAGAGCAATAAAGTTAAACTCGTTGATGTTGTTTGATTCATGAAATATAATCTGGGGGAGAGAGGTGTGGGTGAGAGAATCAATACAGTACAGAGTAGTGGCTGGCTGGCTGCTGTTGATGGTGGTGGCGGGGACACCTCTCTCCCCTCCTCTTCTATTTTACATATTCCACTTTTCATTCTCTTTAAAACTCACTATATTCTTCACTTTCCCAACAGGGTTTTATTTTCAATGTTCTAACTATTTAAATTCTTATTTCTCCAGGTTTAATGTATTTTGTTGGTTTTTAATAAGAGACGATAAGAGTTCTTCGTTCCTGAAGGGGGCGATGTAGACGGTGATTGTGTGGAGGCAAACAAGCAACTCATTACGAGGAGGCACGCACCCTGGCCACCTTCCCTGACGCCTCTCATCACCTCCTTCCATATCACACACTGCCACCAGACACCGAGATGCACCCCAGAGGTGTTCGCGTATCAGGAGATGTTCGATAATGATCATGAAGCCGACACTGCAGAAGGTGAGGTGTTCGTCCAGCAGGAGCGACTTACATCTAATACAGATATGTGTTTGAGTGTCACTGAACCTTAAGAATACAGAACTAGTCGAGAGAGAGAGAGAGAGAGAGAGAGAGTAGGTGCATTAAAGACTTGACTATCAAATATCAACTACGAAACAAAAATTTACGTATCACTTCAGTTCATCAACGTAATGGCTGGTTCCTGGACACAACACTTAAGGAAGACTTGAGCGTATGGGCGGTGGGTGACTCGGGCGTAGGTATAACACAAGAGACAGCGGGCGGACTGGTGCTTCGGTATACATATGAGTATATTCTGAGTAAGAGAATATAGTGAGGGAGGAGATAAAAGTGTGTAGCGTCAGGTATTGTGATTGATGGTGATGACTGATTGATGGTGTTGATGATGAATGGTATTTATATTATTTATTTATTTTGTTTGTTTATTCTGAATGCACCCTAAGTTCCGCACCCCATGTCCCGTACCCCATGTCCCGTACCCATTTCTCGTACCCTATGTCCCGTACCCTATGTCCCGTACCCCATAACCCGTACCCCATATCCTGTACCCCAGCTCTGACATCTTTCATTAGTCCCCAGCCCAGCCCACCAGATGGCGTAGTGTGTAATATACTGTATACATAAAGTTACCCAACCCAACACACGGTAAACAGAGACGAACTTTATACCGGATGCTCTAACAATAACACTGGAATACAAAAGGTAATTAACTATAACATTACTGTCTTACTCTATGACATAATTTACATATAATAGTAAAATTTAGTGAAAAATTGGAAAAAAAATAATGAAGAGGATCCTAAAAATAACAAAACAAAAACGAGACATATACAATTACGACGTTCCTACCACCACACCACCTCAGTCACCACGCACAGGAGCCCTCACCATCATTAATTATCACCCAAACAGATACACACAGGTAAAAAAAAAAAATAGTCTAATTAATTGCTAAACTCCTCCTGTACGACCTGAGTGGCGACTATCACACCCACAACAAACTTGCTTCAAACATTAAAAAACACACACAAAAAAAACGAGTGATGCAAGCAACCAGCGAGAGGATAAAAAGAAAACATTGATCACCTGCCTCCATCACCTGTATTTGGCCACCCTGGTTTCCAATACACGTGAGGTGAGTCATATTAACCTGGGTGGAGTCCTCGAGGCTCTCACATACTGTATATACTCAAGGGCGGAGTCTTAGTGTTTATGAAAGACACAAGCTATCCATCGTTAAGTGTTGAACAGGTTAAGTTGTCTTGTTCTTGTCTGATGTTACTGAGCCATCACACTCTTGCCCAATTTCGGGTTCAGGATCAAAATTAACGACGTACAGGTATCAAGGAAAATGTTTAGCTTTTAAAAGACTGTATAGTTTTGTTTTTAAAATATCGTACAGTTTTCAAGATAACGTGTAGGTGTTAAGATAATGTCTATCTTTTAAGAGAACAAAACAGCTTTTAAAGTAACGCATAATTTTTAAAAACAGGTTTGAAGATAAAACACAGCTTTGGAAATGACACAGCTTTTAACAGCACGTATAGCTTTTAACAACATACGTACCTTTTAACATAATGTTCATCTATTAATAAACTTACATGGAACCACACCTACAGTTTCTTTCTCGACGAGGCCTGAGCACCATTTAATATCCACCAGGCACCATTATATCCCCCCAACACGCCATACGGTGCACCTCGCCGCAAAAACACGCCGTTTACAGGAGGTTACTCGACCCCCGACACGAGATACCGGGAGTGATATACCAAGACGCCTGATAAAGACGCATCCTCAGAGCTGGGCGACTTGCCATCATCATCATACTAACTACTAACATGTTCTTCAAGTGAGAAAAAATTAAGTTAGGAAGACGATTAACCCGAAGATTTATGCTTATACTTGAAATTGTTAAACGCCTTCTTGAGAACTCGTCAGATGAGGTATGTGAGATGGAGGTCGTCCTTGTACACGGTGCATCCATAGGGGGTGGTCGTCCTTGGCTGAGGTCCACTTCGTGTGTTAATATGGTCACGACACAAGTTATCCTTGGCAGTGTCCAGGTGGGACCTCTTGTCCTGCATGTGGAGCTGGTGACGGTGTACACTGCAGGGACCTTCGCAGACACACACACATACGGGATCACTAATACGCGAGAGTGATGTAGTGTGTTAATCCGTGTTGTATAGACGTGAGGGAGACCTGCCGTGGACATACACTCATGATAAGTGTGAATAGAGAAGATTACGGACCTGACAATTATAAGACCTAACTAACTTGGAGGAGAACATAATTATAGAGGACAGTCGATGCTGGTGTTGAAGCCGTTGGGGCATCGATCTTCAAGAAAAATTAAACCTTTCCTTATAATAAAGAATAAAATACATAAGAACACTTACAAGAAGCTGGATTTGTTATCATCGTCTCGACTTATAGAGCCTCGCCTTCTTGGTAGAGTTTGTGATGACTCTATTTGGCTGGACTCTATTGAGGAGTGACCCACGGGCGCCGACTGAGAGCCCGCCACCGGTGACTCACTCCTGCTGCCCTTTTTGGCCAGACGCAGCGAGAGAGATTTCTTGAATTTTTGGAACATGCCTTCTGTAACATATAATAGACCACGTATCAATTAGTCAAACGGTGAAACATTGTAAACTTGATCTTAGTTTCTGGAACATCATAATTCTTTCTAATAAGACATTAAAACATTTAATAATACCTAAGTAATAAATACCTAAGTTCAGAATGAGAAACACAATTAATGAAAATTAAATTGAACATATTCCAAATCATCATAAAGTTACAGCTGATCACCACAGTATGTTTTTATAATTAATAATATTGTCAACTATATTTTTACATATTTACATATTTTACGTACCTGAAGAGGCCTGCATGGTGGACGGCATATAGGGGAGAGACCTGGGGCCCTCCTCCCCCTCCTGCACCACCTCCACCGCCATCCCGCCATCCTCTCCTGACGTCATCGCCAATCTGCATACTGATTGGCTGAGCTTGGCGGCCTCTCGCTCGCTATACATATGTGACCACGGTCTGGAAACACCAGAAACACAAACACAACTTTAGAACAAATGCATTACCCACCTACCACAAGGTCATAGCAACTGATACAGGTTCTCATTATAAATAGTACTATCCAGAGTCAAACTAACCCCAGTCCAAACTTACCCTAACCCAACCTAAACAGCCTAAACTAACCTAGCATAAACCAACCTACCAATTCTAACCTAACCTAATGCTACTCTTAACTTTACTCTGACCTTACCTGACCTAACCTAACCTAACCATACCATACCATTAAGTTTACGGCATATTTGACCTGCAACCAAATTACCACGACACCCACACACTACACCTGTACCCAGGGTCGCAGAGAGCTAGCCAGGGGCCCCCCTTTACAGATATATTTAATATTTATATTCCCCTTTCCCCGGGCCCCCTAGAGGCGCAGGCCCCGGGATCTATCGTGGCTTCAGCGGCCCTCCCGGCAACCCTGCCTGTACCTCTCACCCTCTACCTCAAAATACTTTACCTTCAATTAAGCCACGAAATTCCTGTTCTGAGTCACGTTAATATATCCATAAGCTACATAGCCTTCACAATTTTTCATCTCATATCCTCCTTCATCCGTGTACTGTATATACTACCGCCAGGGAAGATATTGGAAGCATAATGTGTTGTCTAATGGCAGACCCTGTTGCCACATGGCATCACAAAATTTGTGACCAAGTCCCAGGTTGCTGATCTGACTTTCTGCCTCATTTACACACAATTGCAGGGTCTCAATGGTTTCTCTTTATTTGGCAACACAACATATGTATGTATATATCATTTATCACTCTTGATTTGTTTAATTTCTTCCATTTCTGTATAATTGCGTTTTAAACTGAATTATTACAGTTTAATAATCAAAATGTAAATGTTAATGTGACTGGAGTACAATATTATTAGTAATACTGAAATACAGGATATGGATAGACGCTATCTTATCTGCGCATCTGTGTTTAGGATACCGTATGTTCCTGCTAGTTTAGTTTCAGAGTCCCAGTTCATTTATCAAGTACAACAGCTACAGAAATGAATGAAGATAAATGAGCGCTTGGGAACTTCGTGTTTTCTTCTTTCCTTGTGGTTATCAGCATATACCTAGATCACGCGCATCTACAGTGATTTACACACACACACACACATATATATATATATATATATATATATATATATATATATATATATATATATATATATATATATATATATATATATATATATATAATGCTTTGCTTTCTTCTGTGTTTTCATACTATGTCTCACTTCAAAGAGCTGGTATTCCGGCATCTTCGTGGTGTAGATTAATATAATCTTTTTCTTTTCTATTTTTAATTTCCTTTTACTCTTATTTTTTCTCCCCTAGGCCCCGTTGTGGATCGGGTGGGCCATTCTCCAAAAACAACAACAAACTACTACTACTACTACTATTGTATCTTTTTATTGTTGTTACTCTTAAACCACAGATTTATCGTTTTCTATGAACACCAAGTCTTGTACAGTAAACCAATATTAGAGAAAACGAAGTTGATATAAGTTAAGGGAATACTCAAGGCGTTAGTCACATTTCTCTATTCTCAATAACGAACTTGTGATGGTATGAATGAGTTTTAAATACGTCAAATTTCTCAGTGTCTATCCAGTGACACATTTGGTGCATTATAAAGTAGTACTGCTCTGGCAAAAATAAGTCGTACAGAATTTGTTTCAGCTTACAGGACACAGTAAACATTGACGATTCATAAAGCATATTCGGGCCTATGACTCGGCTGTGTGATTTCCTGGACATTTACACGGTAGCAATAATGAGTAATTTCAAACATATTAGTGAAAATTATATAGCTAGTTAAAGTTTACGTCCACTGTTGTAAGTTAAATGGGTCCCAGTCCAATTAGGCCCCACACTAAAACATAAGGATATGGGGCCCATTCAGACTGTACCCAAATCCTCGTGGTTAGGTTTGAAGTTAGACTTTGATTCGGGTTAATCTAATCAGTCATCATATTTCTTAAGCAGCCATTCCTTAAGTGATGTCACCTAGATTATGTTATTTGGTGACTAGATGGTGAGTAATTAAGGTGACGGGGTTAATTACTTGATGGTGACAAATTCTGGTGATCAGTTACAGTACTGTCTTTATGGTGACGTGTTGGTGATATTACAACCTAACTATTACCATTATGGTGAGTGGATAAGATTATGTGTCTGTGTGCTTTAGAGAGAGAGAGAGAGAGAGAGAGAGAGAGAGAGAGAGACTTACCTCCTGATATCCCACTCTGAATGACTGAGGGAGGCCCTTCTGAAGACTGGAGAGCTGGACGCCTTCTCTCTCCTAGTGGTGCGGGACACTCCACCTCTGCCTCTCCACCACACTCCATCCTGCAACAAGAACAAAAACACGTGTTACTACGAGTGCTTCCATTACACAGGCTCATTACAGCCCCTTCACACAGTCACACTACACACTCCTATTACACCATAATTACCCATTGGATAAAACCTCAACCATCCATCCATCCATACATACATTACATACATACATACGCTTAAATACCAACAGAGTTCTGGAATATGGTGAGGATCTGGTCATAAAGTTACAGTCTTGGACCCTTAAGACACCTGCCTATCCCTACATGCAACACTGCCGCCCTGAAGAGTCTGAGATACAGGCCGAGACAGAGACATTCCTCCCCACACAACCATAACATCTGTGCTCCTGCCTATACAATAATAACACCTGTGCTACCGAAACACTAACCTAACTTAATCATGCACACTTGTACAACCAAAAATACCTGCCAACACAAGCATACACACTTGTGCAACCCTAAAGCCACAACACGTCATATAATCCCGTCCACACAACGTCTTATCTACAAAACAAGAAACACCTCACGTGACCTAACACCTGTCTTCACAAACCACCAACACCTTCACTGATAAGAGACGGATATTGACGGAGATGTTATCGGCCAGACATGATAAATATCTCCAGGAGCATTTCATAATTTCTGTCGTTGTTACACCTGCCTGCCTATCAGATAATGGTAATATCTTATCACCTCACCCTGTTTCCACAACCTAATTCCAGTAATAAAAACAGATTCCTCAGTTATTCCAATAAAAATAACATTTTGAATTAGCTGTCGTGGAAGTAATAACATTGAGGGGAAAAACATACGAGTACACAGACGCAGTTTGGATAAGCAGCCCAGGAAAGTCCGAGGAGAGTACTGCAGGGTGGTAGATAACCTCTCATTCTATTCTATCAATAACAATGGGTTCAAGGACACTCCTCTTCACACTCCTCCGACAGGTTGATTAGATGAAGCTGTAAATGAATCTGGTGGAGCTACGTCAGGTCAGTCACATGAGAAACAAACTGATAAACAGACGCAGGGCAATACCCGCCAGCCCAAGTCATAAAGTCCAGTCTACACGGGTATTAGCCACACATAAGAACATTAAAATGAAGGAAACTGCACCGAGTCTTTGGGTCAATACTAGGCAGCCCCGTTTACACCCAACCCATATCGAGTTAATGTGATGTTTGGCAACTTGTTCCACTCATCCACAACTCTATTTCCAAACCAATGTTTAAATATTTTATTCCTATTTCATTTGTCTTATTTCAATCCACCGCAAAGTGTTTGCTCCTGGTTTGATAGTTTAAGTATACCCAAGTTTTAACACCATTATTTAACCCAGACTTCCATTTATACACTTCAATCATGTCGCCCTTCACTACCTGTCCGTTAACCATATTACTTAATCCAATTTAGAATTTCCCCACCAATACCACGAGGCTCCATTAGTCTTCCATCGGGGACTTTATTGTAGGTTTTGCTAAAGTGGATGTAAACCACATCATATTGTAGTCGTGTCCATCGTCCACAGTTGGAAAACAGTTGTAAAGAATGATAACACATTGGTCGAGACATAAAGCTCTCTGGTAAGGCCATGCTGAGCCACTAATCAACATGTATTATCGGGGTGATTTCGAATTGAAATTGTAAATAGTGCTCCCAGTAATTTACCTACAATTGATCTTGAACTGATCGGACGGTAGTTAGAAGATAATGATCTATCTCCTTTCTTGAAAATCGGTATCACATTCGCTATCCTCCGGGAGTCAGGGACTACACCCGTTTTCAGTGACATATTAAACAAGTTTGCATACTAAGTTCTTCCTTACATTCCTTTAATACTGTGGCAAATATCTCATCGGGACCTGGCGACTTATTAGGATTTAGTTTATCTATTTGTTTACAAACATCGTCACTACTAACTCACTCAAGTTTGTGTTCCTCACCATCACTATATATAGAAGCTGCCTCAGGTGTTTAGGTTTTCGGTTATGACAACAGATATAAAATGTTTAGCCTAGATATTGCTTATTTCCCCTCGTTAGGAGTTAGCTGGTCCTAGTCTGACTGTATTGGTCTGATACATATGAAGATAATATAAGGTTTGTCCTCCCTTCTCTTGTCACTTTAACTTCATTATATATTTTTGTTTTTCTTATATATTTCTTAACACTTCAGGATGGTTCATCAAAATAAACTTGAAGCCAAACGTCACTTCGTTTGATTCTTCTATCGTCTTTTTTTCTCTCCAATAATATTCTTAAGTAATTATTCATCCAAATTCCCTAAGTATATTTTGTTGTTACTTCTCTATCCCGTGCCCGCTCTAGCCTCCCCGGGCCCGCTCTGTCCTCCCCGGGCCCGCTCTGTCCTCCCCGGGCCCGCTCTGTCCTCCCCGGGCCCGCTCTGTCCTCCCCGGGCCCGCTCTGTCCTCCCCGGGCCCGCTCTGTCCTGTCCTCCCCGGGCCCGCTCTGTCCTCCCGGGCCCAGTCCTCCCCGGGCCCGCTCTGTCCTAGGCCCGGTCCTCCCCGCTGCCTCTCTGTCCTCCCCGGGCCCGCTCTGTCCTCCCCGGGCCCGCTCTGTCCTCCCCGGGCCCGCTCTGTCCTCCCCGGGCCCGCTCTGTCCTCCCCGGGCCCGCTCTGTCCTCCCCGGGCCCGCTCTACCTTCTAGGTGCCCACTCTAGCTTCTCCGACCCTTATCACGTTCTCTTAAACAACATAAACACTCCCACTAACACAATCATCATACAACCAATTCCCTATATTTCCCCAGCCTAGCTCCTGACTCACAGAGGCTCGTCACCTCTCTCTCTCCTAAGTCTGGATAAGAAAATGCACCTTGTTATGGCAGCGTCTTGAGGCAATATCCAAGCTATTTTCCCCGTCCGTCATGGTTGTATCGTAGCTTGAGTGAGCCTCTTAAAACGCATTCTTACATCGCCAGTTTGGGGAGTAATTATCCATCAATTCACAAACGCTGAGAATCTAGATAAAAATATAATTTTATGTTATGACACAAGGCAGCACAGCACGGAAAACAACCCGCAGTACAGTACCATCTATTGTGACCCTCGCACCCTAGCCACCTGACACACTTCAAGGCATTAATGTTTTCACGCCCGGGCTGGCTGCTGGCTTGATGCATTTTATGGGTGGAGAATGTGTGCCACGTTTTATATGACGGCAGTAAACGTCGGATGCGGTGCTGGGCGGTGTGTGGCTGCACCTACCTTCACCACTCTCAAGACCACGACCGTACAGCTACTTCAAGATTACGGCCGTACAGCTACTTCAAGATTACGGCCGTAGTCTATAACACACAGCTTCCTTATGCTTTAAATAATTACTGTCTAGTGTAAAAACTGATTCATTCAGTTTAAAAGACCTCACTTTAAAGCACCACAAACAATCAAACAACCTCAACAGCAGTTTAAACATAGCACACCATCAGGTAGTCTACGTCCATAACTATATAATATTCACCTCAATTTTCCATCTACCTATTCATACTTTCTTTACTCACATGACAACACTATTATGGTATACGATCAATGGTAATCATTATATTCCCAACTGTTATATTCCGAGGGCGAGAGTGATCAAGAGTACTAGACCTGTAACATACACAATAAAAAGAATAAGATAATAAACTAAACAAAAAGAAAAAACAAACAAAAACACCACCATTCACGCCAGTAAAACACTTAAAACCTCACAGGCTTCAAAATGTCAATATCCCCCACAACTGAGACAAACTTGAACAAAATGGAAAAATCGATCACACAGCTTGACAATGTTGGAGGGAAGCCCGCACAATGGGGGCGGGGAGGAAGGGAGGGGAGGGGAAGGGTAGGTTTTTTTTGGGGGGGAGGAATTCGACATGGCCACCACTACAGCAGCAATGATAATGATATATGGATCTAGTGTCGTAAATACTATATAAAGACGGAGGCTCACGGGTCACTGAGAAATGCCGAACTCTGATCTGTTCTTACTAAAACTAAACATACATCAGATGATTTGTTTTAATTTGTGGTAGCATACGAGGCACACGGAGGCAGTGGGCTACTTGCTGTAAAAATATATTCTTTCTTTCGCTATCACGACACCGTCCTTAAAATTTCTATGTGTACCGAGGTAAAATGTTAAAAGAAATAGTTAATCTAGAGGTCCGTCTTTTCTTCACATTTACCTTAACTTACAAGACTTGTTGACAAAAACTAAGAATAATAAATAAATAAATAAATTTATTTAATTGAGCCTAACACCGTCTATTACTAAACAAAATTCCCTTATTAGTTTCAGTATTATAAGACACAATGGAACACTCCTCCTCCTATGAACGTCAGAACACTACACATCACCATACCCTGTACTGTATAAACCATGCTTACGTAACCACCGTTTGGCTCCCTGAACAAAGCTACGATCAACTGTATCAACTGATAAGAACTTTGTACGAGACGAAATACAGATGCCGGTCCAACTGGCCTCTTTGCTGCACCACAACACAATTTCAATATATTTATTTATTTATTTATTTATTTTTTATTGTTTTCCAATGTCTAACTCGATGACAATCACAACCTGCATATACAATGGTTTGGGGTCTTTAGTTAAAAAAAATATTAACCGTTTTGCCAGTAATGAGAATTTCTCTAAGTGCCCACCTGAGTATGTGTATAAATTGGTTAATTAAGATAGTGAAATTAAAGGTTAGCGGATAACTTTACTGTCACCAATAGTCCATCTACGTCGGAATAAATTATTTCACTTTAATTGTCGCAACTCTCTCTCTCTCTCTCTGGTGTGTGTGTGTGTGTGTGTGTGTATGTATGTGTGTGTGTGTGTGTGTGTGTCTGTGTGTGTATACGTGCGCGCATCAGCTATAAACGTGAAATCTCCAGAATTAAATTCCGTTGGTGTCGAACAATGTTGTCAGGTATGGGCCTTTAGATCAAGTTCATCCCTTGACCCATTTTCTAAGGTCACAAAGGTCAAGATGTGGGCGTGGGTGGGTGTGTCCGAGTCAGCCTTGTGGG